AAAATAAACTTTACCAATTTCTGGCAATGGGAGAGGCTATTTTTGTAATTGGCAAAATACCATTTTTTGTTTTTTTAAATGATTTGGTATATCAGAAGGTTAGTTTCGTCGTTTAATCACAGAGTTGGTGCAATGTGATCAAATTCATAATGTTAGGGGTTTTCTAAAGTAGGTTGGGTGTGTATAATCAAAAAATGATAGTAGTGGGGGTTTCAAGAAATTTGCCCTAAATATTAATATATAATTGGTGGGTAAAATTGTAAAATCACACAGTTCTGTTAGTAAAATAAACGACCCTCACATAGAGGGGAGGTAGGTGGAATATTGAAATCTAGAGGGGGTGTCAGTGGGATATGGTCAAAGGTTATGGGGTGTAGGTGGAATTAACTGGAAAAAAAAAAATTTGTTTGTTTTATTTATCTTTGAATTAGTTAATCATGAAATATCTCCACAATTCATTGTTGTTAGATCCTTAAGTTATAAATAGCTATAGCCAATATAGTATATGATGCGATTAACATTTATGAATAATGATAAAAATAATGTTAACATTGATGTTAAAAACAGCTTCAATGGAAGTGAAGGCGAAAACACAAATTCTTGTCAATCTGTTCCATGCAAACAGAAGAAAGAGAACAAAGTTGTTCCAATAGTAGCATCCGTTGTTGCCATTTCCGTGCTATTAATCGCAATTATGGCTGCTTTATGGATCATAAGAAGGAGAAAACAAGGTATGAGAACCATGATCCCCATAATTGAACACAGAAAATTCTAAATCACAATTAATTTTCTATAGTAAAAGTTTTTCTCAATTGAAATATTTTTATTGAATTTGATGTGATCTCAGTAGTCAGAAAGGTTGATGCTGAAACAAACCAAAGAGAAGGATCATCCTTGGTGGTAAAGAATAAAAAATTTACATACTCTGAGGTCGTGAGTATTACAAACAATTTCAAGATGGTTATTGGGGAAGGAGGATTTGGAACAGTTTACCATGGCTATGTAGGTGACTCTCAAGTTGCTGTAAAGATGCTCTCCAAATCATCAATTCAAGGGTACAAGGAATTCCAAACTGAGGTAACCTGCAAATTAAACTGACATTTTTATGAAGTAGTTTATGTTGAGCTCATCAATGTATGGTAGTAGTTTATGTTGAACTAAATGTGGCTTCATATATTGCAGAAGAACCTTCTTGTATCAATATATTTTGAACTAAATGTGGCTTTATGTTGCAGGCCAACCTTCTTATGAGCGTTCATCGTAAAAACTTTACTTCTCTAGTTGGATACTGCAATGAAGGCACCAACATGGGAATTATCTATGAATTTATGGTTAATGGAGACTTAGAAAAGCATCTATTAGGTATGCATACTTTGGATTTGTGAATACAAGAAGTCAACCGATAATAATAGCAACCAATGCTACTCTAGCGACAATTTAAATTACTAATTCATGGATGCAGGTAGAAATTCAAATTTTTTGAGTTGGGAAGAAAGGCTTCGGATAGCAGTAGATGCAGCATTAGGTTAGTAAGCAGATGAATTCCATTTCTTTTCCTTTTATGATATCATTTTACATTTTTGATGCAAGTGTAGCTAATTAATAAGAAGTGGACTTGAATTGAAGGGTTGGAGTATCTGCACCATGGTTGTAAGCCTCCAATAATCCACAGAGATGTGAAGACTACCAATATCTTATTAAATGAAAAATTCCATGCCAAACTTGCTGACTTTGGGCTGTCTAGAGTTGTTCCAACTGAAGGTTGCACTCATGTATTAACAATTGTTGCCGGCACTCCTGGATACCTTGACCCTGAGTAAGCATTTCCCTTCTCCTATATAACATTAGTCCGGGCTGCAAATGAAATAAGCAACTTGAGGTCAAATGGTTAAAATAGGCTCGACTCGTGTTCATTCATTAAATGACCAAGTCAAACTATGATCTTGTTTATTAAAGTTTAAAATGTTATTAGTCAATTATTGGTATTTGTCAATCTACCAACATTTTAAAACTATTTTGGTTGACCAACAAATTTCTAAACCAATTACAAAACCAACAAAAATCACTATTCAGACTTTTTCTTCGTCCAAAATGCCCATATGTTACATTGTCTTCATCTATGAAAATCATGTGTAAATCATTTTATTTCCTTCCACAAATTACTTAAAATGTTAAGAAACACAAGGATTAGACAAACGAATTTATCTTTAAAATACCATTAATATGAACTTTTCATGATTGGGATAAATGTTATATATTTTGGATTGCAGGTATTACACATCAAATAGGCTGACACACAAAAGTGATGTCTATAACTTTGGAATTGTTCTCTTGGAGATGATCACGGGCAGGGCAGCAATACCAAAAGGCAATGATAGTATTTACATAATTCAATGGGTTAGTTCCAAGCTTGCAAATGGGGATGTTAAGATGTTAGCTGATCCGAGGCTGCGTGGAGATTTTGATGTCAATTCTGTTTGGAAAGCTGTAGAATTAGCAATGAGCTGTGTGTCTCGCACTTCCACCAGAAGGCCAACCATGAATTACGTGGTGATGGAGTTGAAGGAGTGTTTGGCAATGGAGATGGCTTGCCATGAAACAGAATCAAAAGATTAAATTGGACTGATATCCATGAATTTGGAGAGTGGACTAAGTCCCGCCGCCAGATGATATCTATTCAAAAAGTATCTTTGTTGTTGCGAAACATTTTCTTTCTTCAATCATTGTCAATAAGCTTGTGTTTGGCGGCATGGAATTGGAGCTTGAAATTGGAAAAAAAATTGGTTCAATTTTCTTAGTTACTTTTCTTCGATTCCAATTCCAAAGATCCAATTCCATGCCTTCCAAACATAGCCTTAGTTCAATTGAGTCCTTTGCAAAACCAACTGTTAGTCTTTGTTTACTCTCACTCTTCAAATTATCTCTAAGCGTCAATATTTGTTTGCCTGCATTGTTTAGACACATGTAATTCTTCTGAAACAATTCTATTGAAAATGTTATATTTCCCATCATATATTTCTTGCAATGCAGAGGACTAATTTATTATAGAAGGTTGGTTTGAAATCAAAGAACCCAAGCACTGGGCTTCAGTGTGTCTGTGATCTCTCTCTCTCTCTCCAAATTGAATAAGTTACTTCAGCAAGATAGCGGAATTCGCGACCTCAATAGGATTTTCATGACACTGGAGTTTGCCATGTGTCTGGAGGAATTAGTCTCACCCAAAAGTCAAAACATTAAGAACACCCCTCTAATTAGCGTTGGACAAGGATTAGCCTTTCATATTAGAGATGCCCTATCGGATGATATTATCCAAGCGCGTTGGACAAGAATTAGCCCTTCAGATTAGACACTCTCTACCGGATGATATTATCCAAGCTTTCATTTCTCTGTTGTTTTTTTCCCTCCCCATATATAATATATATTGGTGGGACTGCAAAAACGCACTAACATAGAAAATTAGAAATCTAATGAGAGAATAAAGTAATCAGAAGAAATAAAAAAACTAAATAGATTAAAATTTTGAGACAATGGCACATATAAAATTCTAAAATTCAGAAGGTATTTACAGAAGAGTTCAATTGACAATTGTAGAATTTGAAAAGACAATAAGCATTCCCATTACATAAATGAATTATTAGATTTAGTGTGAAATTGACGTTTAAAGTTTATATATAAAAAAAGGCGTGTCAACTAGTAATTAACAAATAATTAGTTAATTTATTATAGTAACTAAAAAAAGAGCTACGGATTTAAATCTTATATGCTGCATGCAAAACACTGTAAAATTTAAATATTTTGATCCTCTTTTCCTTTTCCCTTCAAATCACATCATTGCTTGCATGCTCTTCTTCTTCTTCTTCATTTTCATTTTTTTATTTTTTATTTTTATCTCTTCGTGGCTCCCAATATATTCAATGTAGAGTTGAACTCATTATAAATGCTATCAACAACCAAAGGACTTGACATTTGTGTGCTTATTATTACGATAACAATAGCGACATAAGGCCTGTCGTTTAAAAATTAAGAAGAGTCAATGTCTATTCTCCGATCTCCATCATCTTGATTATATAACAAAATTTTACATCGGTTCAACATCATTCACATTGGGATTGCAAGTTCGAGATAAAGGTTTTTTATTCTTGAAATAAAATTGTAATAGTATTGAATCTTAAAATAAATGTATTGTACAAATATTTCAACCTTAAATAAATGTGCTACTAAGAATAGTTTGATATAGTAATAACTCCTTTAAGTGAATAATAAGGGTTCAAGTCTCTAAAAAAGTAAAATAAATATATGAATTTTTTGACAATGACAAAAATAATAATAATAAATATATAAATAAATAAATGTGTTACCTACAGTACCTCATATAATATTTGTATTTGTGGTGTAACGAAATTATAGATATAAAATAAAATAATATAGTAATAAAATTATGAGTAGGTACGGACCTATTGTTCACTCAGTTAGGCCCTACTGATTTTTTTTTTAATATTTTTTTATTGTATTGATATAAAGTTAAATTTTTAAATTTATCCTTGTTAAAAGACAAAAGTGTCGATGTCAAAACAATAGTTTAAAAATATTATAAAAAATATTATAAAAAATAGTGCATCGATTTTTTAAGTGAGACACTTATTAGGATATCTCAAAATAAGAAAATGGACAAAAACTTTGGGCCGAAAAAACTATTATATATTCCTACTCACTTTATTTTTATTATATACCCATGATATTTTAATATTACTCTTGAAAAACCCTACTATTGTTACCCCTCCCTTTCGCAACTCCTAACCCCCATAATTCTTTGGGCAGTCCCTGTCGAAGAGTCCGGTTTCAAACGGTATTGCGACTCGGCACAAATATATGGTTTGACAAATTATTATCTGACATCCTCCTTGTACGTAGCTCAAATATCTTTATCCAATTATTGTATTTGACAACAACGTACATGCAGCTTATTGGTATACCTATGACATACATATGTAGCAGCACATAAAAGGAAACCTCTCATAGCTCCTCTTGTCTCATGAAGAATCTGAGTAGAAATATGTGGATTCCAAAGTGCTTACTCTTTGTATTGCTTTCTTGTTTTGCCCTAATAGTTGTGGTTTATGTACAGGTCCCTCCAGGTATGCAGACACACTTCCTTTATACATCAATATATATATATATATATATATCTATTCATTGTCAGAACACTAAGCATATAACTAATCTCTCTCTCCGTATATATATATTATATATTAGGCTTCATAAGCATAGATTGTGGAGCACTTGAAGGCACCAGCTACAAAGATGATACAACTGGAATAGATTATATTTCAGATGAAGCTTTTGTAGACACTGGTGTGAGGAAGACTATATCCCCTGAATTCATGACTAATTTTCTCCCACCACAGTTTAACAAAGTCAGAAGTTTTCCTCAAGGAACCAAAAACTGCTACACGCTGAGACCTGCACAAGGCAAAGGTAACACGTACTTGATAAGGGCCAGGTTCATGTATGGAAACTATGATTCAAAAAATCAAATACCCCAATTTGATTTGTACATCGGAGTTGATTACTGGACCACAATGATGTTAGACGATTCATCAACTCCCTATGAGCCGGAGATCGTACATGTTCCCTCCACGGATTATATATACGTTTGTCTCGTAAACATAGGCCTTGGAACACCATTCATATCAGCATTAGAGCTAAGGCCTTTGGATAAGTCTATGTATGAAACTACTTCTGGTTCGATCACTTGGCCTCTTTATGCGCTATGATTATGGTTCAACCACCGATGAATAAGTCAGGTTAGCCACTTTTGTTGTCAAGAATGTTTTAGAACTGGCAAGAATCAATTTTATCTAGGGTTTATTTCACTTACCACTATGAGGTTTGTCAATATTTCACATAGATCACTTCATATTTTATAATCTAACTTACCTTCCTTGAGGTTTTGGTTTATGTAACCGATTCTCCTATGTCTGACCATTTTGCCCTTCTAATGCCTGAAATGACAGTAAACATTTCATAGGCAAAACGGTTGAAAAATATGTGATGTTCCAATTTTTTTTTCATTTTTCATTTTCTTATTTTTTGAGGGTATTTTAGTCTTTTCTCGTTTTGCGTGCCGGACACCGTGGGGTGTGCCGGGTGTGTCAGAATGTTGTTTAGGATATTTCCTTGAGTTCAGGATTCTTGGAAATGCATTGGTTGTCATTTCGACATATTTTTTTTGTTTTTTTTTTTTTTTTTACCGAAAAGTCCTAGGTAGAATCTGCTACCGGGGTCGTTGAGTACGGAGATTTTATTTTGGGTTCATTGCATATCATGCATTATTCTTTTGTGCTTATATGTTATTTGTGGTTATGAATTGGTTGATGTGTGTGTGTACACACACACACATCAACCAATTCATAACCACAAATAACATATAAGCACAAAAGAATAATGCATGATATGCAATGAACCCAAAATAAAATCTCCGTACTCAACGACCTAAGAAAAAAAAGAAATGTGAGGGAGATGAAAATATATATATATATATATATATATATATATATATATATATATATATGGTAAAAGACTTTTTAAAAAAGAAATTGCCCTGGAACCTGTTGGATGTTAAGGGAGTCATTACATACCCCCACTTTCTGTTTCTCTTGTCAGTATCTTCATCTCCCTCACATTTTTTTTTTCTTTTCTTGTTTTCATTAATTTAAACTTAGATCTAGAGCTTTTCACTTAGAATTTGACATTGCCACTAAAGGCAAAGTTGACGAGCGCAACGAGACTTTCATTTTGATCGAAGCAAAATGTCGTTTGGCCACCCTTTTGAATTTCGAAAATTGGGGGTTTTGGTGGGATTGCTCTTCAATTGTGAGGTAAGGGTGTTCTAACCCAATTTTTTTAACCCTTGTGAATTTTCCCCCTAAAATTTGCTTATAAGCATGTTTAATTTGATTATTTGACCTATGGTGTTTAGGGTTTTATATGATAATATGAATTATGCGAATAGTTGGCTCAATTACATGTTCCTTAAGTTGATGTGATAACCTTTTTTTTTTTTTTTTTTTTTTTTTTTATGCCTTTATTTGTTCAATATGTTTAAATTGTTTATGTAAGCATGAGGTATATGTATATTGTTGAGAATTATTGATTTACATGAGATTTCATTGTTAAGATTGAAATTGTGTACCATGGAACATTCATGCATTCCATTGGGAAAGGGAAAAGAGAAAAGTTGTTTTGAAAAGCAAAAGAAATTGTTTTGGGAAAAATAGTTTCGAAAAGTGTTTGCGAAAACCCGGACGCCTAGGAGTCGCCTAGTGGTCCGCGGCGTTAGTGTGGTCTAGAGGGGACTAGGGAGAGACCCTAGCGTGGTTGAGCTACCTAAGCTGGATACGACGCCTTGAAGTTGCCTTATAGTCGTGGATAATTAGCCAATCCTCCTCTCATGACGCCTTGGAGTAGCCTTGGGTCGGACTACACTAACAGTTTGGAAAGGTGAATGGTATTGTTTCGAAAATGGGGAGTGACATTTCATAGCATGGCATATCATTGATATATATTGCACACTTGGTAGTCGGATGACGTGTATGTATTTGTTGATATTATTACTATTTTACTTGCTTCCTGAGGTATGATCCCGTTCACTTGTATTCTATTTCTTATGTGGGTTCATGAGATCGTAAGAGGTGTGTCTTAGATACTTCCTACTGAGCGGTTGGCGCACCCCATTATTTTAATATTTTCAGGATACGGGAAAGAGGTAGCGGATGACAATCCATCACAAGTGTAGACGGGATTGGATGTCTATATTTTGCTATCTTTTGTAATTGAACTTTAATATTTTGTAAATATAATCTTGACTATTTTGTAAAATTTTAATTTAATTTGTATAAAGTTGTAAGTTATGAACTTTTAATTTTAGCTATATTTCATGGACTGTAACTTAATGTAATTAAAGTGCATTCCTTATAAAGGATTATGGGACTAGGTAGTGGATTGGTAATTCCATATTTAGATGAGATGGAGGAACGAGATTCTTTTTATATGTATGTGTTGATTTTGGGAATATTGAATATTATTTGTATTGTGCGTTGGAACATGATAGATTAGTTTTAAGGCCAAGTGAGACCGATTTTTTTATTTATTTTTTATTTTTTATGTCACGACCCGAAAATTCTAATAAAATTCTCAATTTATACAAATTCAAATACATTAAAATACACCCAGGATTTAAAAAAAAAAAATACCCTCTTTTATACAAAATCAATTTCGTCAATTTATATACAAAATTCTCCAAATAAATAAATAAATCCTGCAACGCCGACTCTTCCACTTAAGCCTGAATCTAACAATCCACGTTCATCTTTGATACCTGAAACTGGAGGGTGGTGAAACAGAAAGTCCTAGCAGGAAAAACCATAACAAGAATTTCATGGTGGTTTAACAAAACAGCTTCCGAAAATATACATATTCATGTGAGTATATAAACAAAATAAATATACATTTAATCAAAACATTTTTTTAAAAAAAACATTTGAAACAAAACCACTCCTAGCCGTATAGAGAACCCTACACTGAAAAAGAAATATTTCCTCACTGGATCATTGGAGCATCAAACTTCGGCCTTATAACAACCCAAACCGGGGATCCGGATCGCTAACCCGGTCCTTGACCAAACCCGAGGACACACTAGGGGTAAAATGATCATTTTACATTGTGCAAGGGTAATCCATCCTTAAACTAATCAAATAAGGTTTTAAACAATCATTCTAGTCATTCCATGATACTCGGTGAAGTTCTACGGTCATCGGTTATGAATTCCCAAAAGTACCATTACCCGGTTCAAGGGAAATTCCGATACTGTTCTACTAAAACAATCATAACTCCCAACATGAATGGAGTTTGAAGATGAGGTTAGTTATATTGGAAAGCTAACTCAAAATCCTTGAAAATGGACTCAAGAATGACCCTATTTGGGTTTGGAACGAAGAAGTTATAACCGTCCGAAGTTAAATGATCAAAGTTGATAAAAATTATGAAGGCAAAAATATACACTGGAGGGCTGAACCGGTTCCCAAATCTTGGTACTGGTTCCACATGGGTAGAAAGCCCAAACATGAACCAAGACAACTCTTGAATCGGTTCCTGGATGAGGTACTGGTTCCCCAAACCCAGAAACTAAAAAAAAAAGCCCTGAAAGTCTAAAATCATGAACTTGTGCACTTAGGCACTCCTATGGTCCATTGGTGACCTTAATCCAAGTCCAAACCTGTCCAAACATAATGTAAAAACAACTTACATAACATCCCATGAATTACAATACATCCAAAGCATAGAGTTATAAATCCTTACATTATTCTAAAATCATTTACAAAGATTAAGCTTTGGATACATTAAGTTAAAATCCATGGATATGGTGATAGTCATAAGTTCTTTAGTTGCAAACCATCCAAAATACACCAAGGCTATGCAAAGTGACACGATTCTATACAAAAGAGTATGACTCTACATACAAAAGTCTAGTAAACAAAGGCCTCAAATCTGACCTAAGCATGTGATGGATCATCATCCGCCGCTTCTCTTCCATGTCCTGAAAAATATTAAATATAAGGGGTGAGCTAATTGCTCTGTAGGTGGTACCTAAGACACACCTCTTGTGACCCCGTGAATCCAAACAAAGAATAGAAAAATAGAGGACAGGATTATACAACTCCGGGGAGAAAATTTAACCATAATATCAATAACAAACAATCCAAGTCATAACGAGCCATGCTGTGCAATGTCATGCAATGTCGCTCCCTATTTCCAAAAAAAAAAAAAAAACCTTTTCCGTTATCATTTCCAAACCATTAATGTTACCTGTCCCATGACAACTCCATGGCGGCACGAGAGAAGGATTGGCTAACTGTCCCTGACCCATGGCAACTCCATGGCGTCATTTGGGGCCTAGGTAACTCAACCACGCTAGGGAAATCTCCCCAGTTCCCTCTAGCCCACACTAAGGCCGCGGTCCCTAGGCAACTCCTAAGCGGCCGGGTTTTTGCAAACCCTTTTTCAAAACTTTTTCCCCAAAACCTTTTTCATTTCCTTTAAAATCAACTTCTCATTTCTTTCCCAATGCTTATGCATGAAATGTGTCATAAAATTACACAATTGTACTTCAACAACCTTGCATGCTTAATAAGGAAATTCACACACGACATCTCATACTCACAATTAGTACAATTTTCAACAACAACATATTTAAATTAAGAACATAATCACTTAAGCATGCATTTGTCATGTATTTTCAACAAATCAATTATGCATACCATTTAAGCATGAAATTCATATAACTTATACAATTCAACCTTAATAACTTACATGCTTAATAAGGAATTTTATACAAAACCTAATATGCTTACACTTAGCACAATCTCAACAATCACACATCTAAATTAAAAATATAATCATTTAAGCATGTCTATATCATATTTCATCAACAATCAACATACACATCAGTAAACATGAAATTTACATGGAATTATAATTCATACACATAACATCAAGACAACTTAACATGAATTAATCACAATTTAACATGTTATACTACAAATTAAGAGAAAATAATTCTCCAAGAACCAAGATGGTGGATGAGAGAGAGCTTACGGGAGAGAGAATGAAAATGAGACCAAACATGGTCTTATGACCACTAAAATGGGTGATGGTGGGCCCCTCTTCAAAAAGATTTTTCTTTTAACATTAATTTCTACCATAAATTCATATATATATAAAGGCTACTTATAAATGGAATGCAATGGACCTAAAATAAAATCCCCGTACATAAGAATCCCGATAACGGGTCCCACCCGGGATTGTCCGTCCCGAAAAATGAAAAATTGCTGAAATTGCAACCCTTGCATTTCAAAGAGTCCGGAACTCAATGAAATGCTCCAGCCAACTCTCTGACACACCCCACAGTGTCCGGTACGTAAAACGAGAAAAGATGAAAATACCCTCAAAAAATTAGAAAATTACAAAAAATGAAAAATGGCGAAAATCAGAAATATTACATTCTACCCTCCTTAAAAGATTTTGTCCTCAAAATCTACCCTCCTTAAAGAAAGAGACTAACAACCACACACTTTCCCAAGAAATACTTCACCAAACCATAGAGATAAGAACTTAACAACATTGTTGCCTTTGACACCCGATGTCAATAGGCAATCATACACTGTCGTCAGAAAAACCCAATGCTCACCACCCTATGAGGATACTCGTCACTCACAACATCATACACAAAACTCGCTGGATTATACATATCACTTAAAACCAACACTGGTCCCTTTACACCGCTACACAAGGCTTCGGAGCTGAAAAAAGAACGGTCACAAAACCCTTGAACAAAACAATAACCTATTTCAACTCGTCCTTCAAAGGACACACAAGATCCCAAACGAGGAACCCCGTCCATTTCACAATCAAGCTCAAACTCAAATATATGTCCCTGTCAGATCAAGCACTTACTATCCACCACATAGCTACACCACCTTACCATATGACAATCATCGTACTTAACAACCCCAAAATGACAAAACAATGAATCTCCCAATGATTACATAATCATGAGTCACCAGTACAATAAAACAAATCATCTTGTACCCAAGTCACAAATCCTCAAAACAAGATCTTCAATAGTCAATGGTTGCACCAAAACCCTTTATCGGACACTTGGTCCAACCTAACATACCTTGTCACCCGAGACAATTAATCTAAGTCCACATTGCCACACTGACATAACACGCAAAATCGTGCTCTCACTGTCACTAACAAGTCGAAACAGTCATTGACCTTTGACCTGATATCGTGCTAGAGAGGGACTGATTCAAGAGAAATGGTTGGTCAGGCCATTCTCATCATCGATCCGGTCTCAGCACAGACGTCATTCCTATCCTCAAGTCTAAACCTCAAACACTACCCCATACAGTTCACAAAACAACCACGAGATCCACTCTCTAATCAATCCGTCGCTTTACATAACCTCAACAACTATACAGTCACATACCAGCTCTAAAAATCCCAATCATACATTAATCACACAACCCCTAACAAGTTGGAAACAACATGGCGCCAAACGTCACAATCATCAACCAGTATAAAAGATCTCTAATATCCTCATAACACCCATACCAGGTAAACAACTCCATGTCATCACTCGGTTCAATTCTTACCTCTTCAAAACACACAATACGACCGTCTCATACTTGAAACCTCAAAACCAAAGTCAATCGTTCCTATTATTCCTCAATAGAATCACACATTCACTTTCTAGCTGCTTAACACTCAAACAATACCAATACTTGTCCTCAAGACACTGCTCAAATCAGACATCAATAAAAACACCTGAGTACATGACTCACATCACATCACCTAACTATCCTCAAACTGCCATTCACGACACATTTCCTAGCCATCACCGCTAGTACTAAACATCAGAAATATACCATCCCTAATCGACAACTCGTGCCTCACACACCACCTGTCAGTAACACTCTTAGAACAAGCACCACAAAACCAAAGACTCCACATCCCTCCGTAGAAGTGAGTCGACCCATTCAACCAAACCTTTACCGGTGAACTCTAACATCACAACAACTCATATATAGGTTCATCCATCCGCGGACGCACACGACTCCTAGATGGAGAACAAGGCTCACGACAAACAATGTCCTTGATAGGACTAGAATAAATAAAAAGGGTAACGACCCCGTTCTCACAAGAGACTGACAACTCGTACCCAAATACACCCGACACCCTATCACACGTTACTCACCAATCGTCCAACTATGGACACCCAATCTCACCTGAGATGAAATGAATTCCCTACATACAAGGAGAAGAACCAACTGGAAACACATACGGGACTACGACCTCGATTCCAGATGACCTCGCCACTAATAGATTGTCACACACTATCAACACAGAAACCTCACATACGATACACCACGATACCCCTGCTAACCAAAACCAATCCGGTAAAAGCACCGACGCTCATGGCATACTAACACTAGAAACAATTACAGCCCTTCAGACACCACGTCCTGTTCTACCTAGAATCAGTCACTCCTAACCGATAACCTCTACGCCAAAAAACGACACTTTACCATTCATTTTATTTCTACCTGCCCAGGCGACACTTTCTCAATCACAGTGCACATAAGACCCGTGACCTCAGTCATAATAACCCATTGACTCTTCAAAAGAAAAAGATACCTACATGGCAACATCTCTTTCTGGTTCTAAAGACTAAGCTGACCACAACTGCCTCAATTGGCGCACAATCCTGTTACTTATCTGACAACGTACAACAACACTTACAATC